ACTGCTCAATGATGGTACGTCGGTTCTATAAAAAGTGATAAATAAGCAAAATTTATGATAATTTATTGTTTATATTAGTGGGAAATGGTTAAAACCTCTTAATGTCAGTGCCCAGTCGAATGTCCCTAATACAGAAATCGATGCATGTTCCGAAAAGTGCGATTGTGAACCAATCTTCATATTGGTTCCTTATTAACGGAGCATCTATATTCTCGTACAGATTACAAAGTGTTCGCATGGCCATTTGGATCCATTCCTGATCATAATGTTTATGGACATTGTATTTTTCTCCATCTTTAAGATATGTTGTCATCACGATCGTACGTATCTCTTCTAACGTTTTATTTCCGTACTTCATCAGTTCTTTTATAATATCGCATGGAACAGGTGAAACCCCAATTCGATCTTTGGTTAATTCCTTCCACTCTACATCGGTGAATAACGCTTTGACATTCTCGTCGTCAAAGTCCACAATGTAGGAATGGGAATGGCTAAATCATTGTTAGTATCATGAATGACAAGATAAAAAGAATTTAAATTTCAAGAAACTTACTGTTCACAGTCCATGTCTTTGGCGAATTCAAAGAGAACGTCTTCCACTATTTTTCCCGTGCTCAACCGTAACTTCGTAGTATCTGGGATAGCATTATGAGCCTCGCGAAAAGCCACCTTGTCAACTTTTGGGGAAGTGTCCTCGTCTTTGTCATCTTCATAAACGATCTAAAGTATTAATACGAGGAACAACATTATTTCCTTGTTTCTTTCCACCCATCAAGCATGGATTTCATGTAACACGAACTTACATAATCTAGTAAATCATCGCTTGTTTTATGAAATTGTGAGTAAAGGAAAAAATCGATGAAATTCCAATAAAAGAATTACCTTGGCGTGTAATCCGAGTCATCATCGCTCTCATCCTCGGAATCATCATCGTCCTCGAATACAGAGATGAATTGTGATTCAGACTCGGCCTAAAAAGAATCACGCTAATTAGTAATTATTCATGGTTGTATCCAAGGTTTCGGACGCTGTGATAGCTGAACACATTCACTTCAATGCGAACTTCATACCTCCTGATCAGCAAATTCGTCCCTTTCATGTTCAGATACCAAAAACGGATTGTTGGCGGTATCGGCAATTATTTCTCGTTCACTTGAACCAAAGTGATATAGGTTAATCACAGAACAAGAAATGATTCGGGGAAAATACAACTTACAAAGAACGATCTGTATGATTTATAGTGATCCGCTTTTGAGGCATTAAATCATTTTTAACTACTTCTTTGGGAAACTCGGTCGCCACTGCAGTAGTCATTGCACGTACTCCAACAGTTAGGATCTCACACTAATTGCAACCAGTTAAAGGAAAAGTTACATCAGGGTCTTGCATAACAATAAGACAAAAGGTATTACATACTTTGTTCACTCGATTTTCAACAGCCAGCCTTTCCAATTTTATGGAGTGTTCTTTCCACAACTCAATATTCACTGGATTATTATTACAGTTCTTCGAAAGAAAGAAATAGTGCAAAATCAGTGTATTGTATTGGATGTCACAGTTGGCTAACCGCGCGTGCTACGGGCAAAAAACATTTCGCCTTCTGGATAAAGACCCCAGACTGTAACACACTTCCCACTTCGGGCAAAGAACATTTTGCCTTATGCGACGAAATCGCTCAATAACAATTGCAGGGTGCGATTATAAATTAAACTACACTTCTCATTCCTTATAACCTCGCATGCTACGGGCAAAAAACATTTCGCCATCTGGATAAAGATCTCAGACTGTAACACATTTCCCACTTCGGACAAAAAACATTTTATCTTCTGCAACTTTGTTGCTCAATAACAATTGCAGGGAGTGGTTATAAATGGAACTACCAAAGATACCAGACTTCCCACTTCAAAAAGATACTAACCAACAAAGTCTTTTGTAAGTTATATGCGTTATAATACTCGTGGCTTGTTGTTAGAAGCTCTTGAAGAAGAATCCTAAGTTCAAATCTAAGAGATCGATGCGCTTCCATTTTGGTGGCTCCAGGAATACGATTGATGTAGTATATGTCCCAATCGTTTACACTTCCCCACGAGCTTGGATCGCGATTCCAATAGTCTGTGTAGAGAGACTTAAGTTTCTTCCTGCTTGGAGGAAATTATG